ATATATATATATATATATATATATATATATATATATATATATTGAAATAATTATTGTCACCCAAATCAATTCACTTACGTGTTTGAACGTTTTAATTATTGACATTAATATGTGTAGATAACAAAATAACGAAAGATGTATTAATAAACTTGAGTGAGGAAATGATAAAAGAAATGATCCCTGTAATTGGCACACGAGCAAAATTTTTGAAGTATTGGAGACAATACATTGGAAAAAACGTTTTGCAAGAAATCAGTAATGTTAACGATGCCAACGAGGATTGTATCAGTTCTAAAAAGAGAGTATGTATTTTAAATGTAAATGACTTGTAATACATATCGTCGGTTACACTACAAAATCTCTGAATTCTATTTTTAGAAAAAATTGAAGTACTTATACCATACAATGTCTTATCAAGATTTACTGCATATTATAAGTATCTAAATTTTGTGTAAAAATAGAGTTAAGAAGTTTGCTACTTTGACCGAAAACATGTATATATACAGGATATTTAACATCGCAGTGTTTCAAATCTATGTTTAGAAGAAGCTTTCTCAATTGATATTATGAAGATTTGCATATAAAAAATAAAGGACCATTGTTTGAAATGACTACAATTATGACTGAATTTACAATTATGTTAGCAAAGTTGTAATGGACTTTTGGTCTACTTCATTTCTAAAATCATAGAGGTCTGCGAGATTTTACATTTGAATTCATTGAAGTTGATTTATATCGTTGAAACATCTTGTAAAGGGTATCTGGAAGTGCACATACGTACACACATACACAACACGCACGCACACGCACATATATGTATATATGTATATACATACACTTGGTATATATAGGTATTTGTTTTGACTGCAACAAAATCTATGTTTATTGTATATATAAATTTTTATGTAACTCATTTTATTTTTATTTTATATATAAATTTGTTTTATTGTTATAGCGACTTACGAATAAAGCTACAAATACTTCACATACTAATTCATATCCTGATCATAATCAATCAAACGAGAGGGAAAATATACCTATTTCAAGTTTTGTAGATCCAAAATTGCAAACAATGTGAATCATCACTATAGATATACTTCTTACTCAAAGTAAAGCAGGACAACAAATCTTAGCATATTATACAACAAAAAAAGAATTACACGACAATATAAGAAGCAATATATGCGAAATTATTATTTCTCATATTGAAAATTTATCATTATGATAAATATAAAATATTTGACATTTTATATTTGACATTTTATTATGTTACGTCCGACGTAACTTCTCTTCAGTTCGACCGAGCGTACCTTCTGTTACCACCAGGAATGCAATAAATGCCCTGGGTAGTCAAAGAACAATGGACTGATAATAAGGTGTCAAAATTTAACTATTGATTATTACTCACATGTCGTGAGAAGCATCTTTCCCCTTCTACTAAAAGGTGGTGAGAACTCACGCTGGAGTATCTCGCCACCTGCCTATAAAAACGGGTGCGACTGCCCATACACTACTAGAGACAAGGAATCAGACAAAAGACTAGAGACAACAAGTCAGATAAGACAAACAGTCAGTCATTCAGCCAGAAAATCAGACAATCAATCAATCAATTAATCAGTCAGTTTTTAGTAGTAATAGTAGAAGTTTTAGAAAGTCAGTTTCAGATTTTACCTTTTAAATCAATCAATTAAAACTCATCACACAAACAATATATATATATTGCGACGATACTCGCGAACGGAACTTCTCGCGAGCGACGGCAAACAGTCGCCTGTTCGCCGCGTCTGCAAATTGCCGTCGGCTCCCGGACACGCCACAAAGATTTCCGCGAGAGTTGGGCGCCAGATACGGAAAGGCCGCACCACCTCGATAAAGGCGAGAATAAATAATTAACACAAAAGAAATGCGTGTCCCGGAACCGTCGGGACCGGTAGCTTTATTAAATTTAAGTCGGAGACGGGATGGGTTAGGAGGCGAAGTCACTACTCTCGATAACGGTAATAAAGAGACGTTTATTTGGGGACTCTCGCACGTCCCGATAGTTAAGGTACGCGAGACGATATAATTCGCGAGACGGTACACGAAGCCCGAGGACGCTTTCCTCGGGCGAGCCTTCTTTGTTTTTTCGCGCGGCCACTCCGCGGACGAGACACGGCACGATACGATACGCGACACGAATAGAATTGGAGCAGATGGTCAGTCTTACAATTTGCGGCGACAGCCCTTGCGTCGGCGGCGGCGTCAGCGGTGACGGCAGCGGTGACAGTCCTCTCTCCCGGCGCTCGCTCTCTCTCCTCTCCCTCTCTCGGCGCTCGCTCTCTCACTCTCTCTCCTCTCTCTCTCTTCACGCTGTCCACTCCCTCTCGTCCCGCACTATCTCGTTCTCTCTCTCCTCTCTCTCTCTCCGCACGCTCTCTCCCTCTCCGCTCTCTCTCTCTCTCTCTTCGCTCTCTCTCTCGGATCTATCTCTCTTCTCTCTCTTCGCACGCTCTCTCTCTCTCCGCTCTCTCTCTCGGATCTCTCTCTCTTTCACGCGCGATACTGGCCTCGTAAGTTTTCGATATGTCTGATCGCGGCAATGGTCGCGGTAAGGCTAACAGCTGATCGGCTCTGGGAGGATCATGTATCCTCGTGGATCCTCCCTCGTCGCTGCCCCTCTCGTCCTGGGGTGGTCGGTAGTCGGGAATCGGCAGATTTCGGTATTCTGGTCTCGAGACACTTTTCGTCTCGAGACACTGTTGTCATCGGGAGTTCGCTTGTTGTCTCTCACGGCTCTCCCGTTTTTTCCTGCCGGGTTTCTCGTGACGGCTGCTTCGCTAAAAGTAAATACAGCTGATCCGTCTAAACGCGATACTGTATTATAACTACGATAATTTCTCAGCAATAGAATATTCTCTATTGCTGAGCGTCCGATAATTTGCGATAATAATTTGGCATCACCAAAGTACGAGAGTGCGATTCACCTGAGCAGGGCTTCACTCGTTGTCGTCCTCTGCATCCTCCCTCGATGTCCTCCGCTCCTTGTCCTGGTGGCCGGCAAGGGGCGTCGAGGGGCACAAAATTCGGGACGCGCTGACCTTCGCATCTGCTCCGCTCGCAAAAATCGCTTCGTCGCTTTGTTCTAAATTTTCACAACAAACAATCCGACGGAACGCGATACTCGGCAAGGTCTCGAAAAACCGTTAGCGACACGGCACGCGATAAACATTCTCTACACTAATCGACACGGGATTCTTGAGACGGGCGCCTCCACGGCTGCCACGTCACAATATATATATAACAATTGGATCACTAAGATAAAACATTAAAAATCGTAAATAAGTTATTGGATAGATAAAGGTTTGTTTTCCTAACATCCCCTGACCTAAGCGTCGTGTTACACTTTACTCATATTCCCAAACCTTCACCAATCTCTTAAGTCCGATCCTAAGCTCTTCAGTCTCTCTGAAACTACAGTACGAGAAGGACTTCAAAATAACTTAAAATTACTTAAAAGAAAGAATCAATATTAAACCAGAATCAGTAAGTAAAATCATTATTTTATACACACATACGTTTACACATTTTACTTACACACAATCACACGAATTTGTCCATCCCGGGGTAAAGTGGTTAAATCCATCGACCCAAAAAGGACAATAAAAACACGTTTTAAAAAACAACTAAGACGTGACATAAATTTGGTGACAGCGGCGGAATACTAAAGTTTGTGTGACACCAAAAGTTTTTGTGAAAATAAAACAGTAAAGTGTAAATGCCAAAATTGAGGCGAAGTCCTCCTTCATCAAAATCAAATCAAGAATCAACAATTGAAAACCCTAATCAAGCTAATATGGATATTACCGAATTACGAAGAATGGTAATAGAACAACAAACCATTGGACGACTTCAGCAGCAGCAGCAACAACAACAACAGCAAAATGGACAAATCAGTAATCAAGGGATTGGACTTTTAACAGAAGGTAATTTCTTACATTTTTCAATAAGAGATGCACTCGATGCAGTGCCTACTTATGATGGAGAAAACATTCCATTCATTTATTTTGTCGAGGGTTGTGAAGAAGCCATGAGCATGATAGCACCAACACAGGAAAATATATTAGTAAGAGCAATAAGAAATAAGTTAAAAGGGGATGCACACCGATCAATATTAGGAAAAATTTTTACTAACATGCGTGAATTAATAGAATTTTTAAGAACTAAATATGGTCCCAGAGAAACAGTTTACGAAGCCCAGGGACGTTTAGCTTATTTATGTCAAAAGAAAGATGAAAAAGTGGCCACATATGCGAATCGAGTTCGGGAACTAGGAAAACGAATATTAGACGCTCAAAAAAGAGAGACTGGTGAAATTAGTGAAGAATTTCAAAATTCAATCGAGGCTCATCTAAAAAGCTCATCTAAAACTCAT